GTTCATAAGGAGGCAGAACTTTACAGGTTTGTCTTTTTTAAGAAGTTTTTCAGTTTTTTGATATTTTACTGAATATAATAATGGATGAATGGTTTAAAGGAAAAGGAATAACAGTAGGTGAAAAGGACGGCAGTGCCTCTGGAAAGCCTCCAAAATGTGGAGAATTTGTGAAAGCAGTACCATGATAGTAATTGCTCTTTGGTTTGGAGATACCTCTGTGACTTAGACAAGAATCCTGTTGTCATAATTAAGCCACTGGAATCCACTGGAGTCAGGAGAACTCGTCTGAGACTGCATCTGCGTGTCCACAAGGAGACAGGATTATTTGTAACTCTCAGGTTACTCTGGGGACTTGGAAATTAGAAGGGTGTATTTCAGGGGGCTTTTTTTCTAGGTCTTTCACTGTAAATTTTTCTTCTTCATTGGTAGCTTGTCTGTCATCAATCTCTTAATCAGAGAGTTGTTTCATTGTGCCATTTTGCAGGTACTTATGCTGAACAGCAACTGCACGCATTCTTTCCATTAAAATGAATTTCAATGACGTATAAACAGTTACTAGCTCTTGTTAATTAAACATAAACTGGGCAGTTTTCTCATTTATGTAAACTTTTATGTAACTTGTTCAACAGTGTCAAGGGTAGGTTTCTGTAAAGAATTTATTAAGAAGTAATAACACTTGAAGTTCTGCTATCCAACGTTTAAAAGTGCCTGATTAGCAAGTGAAATTCAGCTATCTTTTGCACAGATTGAAGCAGTTTTACAGGAGCGTTTTTAAGTGGGTTTGTACAGGGCACGTGTACCAGCTGATGAACAGTGATGACCTACTCAGATATTCTTCTTTTCAGAGAAAGTGAATGATATTTTTTTTCCCTGTGTGTCTGAATGGTGCTTGAAAACAACGTGCTGCTATGACATGGGAAGAAGGGTTAGAGCGGGAAGCCACCTTCTGAGAGTGTGCAAGGTCCACTGCCTAGAGCCATTGCAGCAATACAGTGTGTGATGGGGATATATACACTGGCCTTGCTTTAGAGCTTTTGTTGCTCGAGGCCTTGGATCCGCATGCCTACACAGCCAACTCATTCCCACTGTTAACGCTAGGAGTTGTAAAAATGGGAGGGTTTGCATCTATCTTTTAAAATATGATGATGGATGCTTTGCGTATGAGGATAGTCCATAATCCTATCACCCTTCCTTATTGTCTGAACAGAGAGAATAAAATGGCATCCGAACCTACAGTCTCTTTGCATAGAAGAACCAGAGGTTTAGATTGAATATAAAGAGGAAATTCTTTCCTGTTAGGGTGGTGAGGCACTGGAATAGGTTGCCCAGGGAAGTTGTGAATGCTGCATCCCTGGCAGTGTTCAAGGCCAGGTTGGATGAGGCCTTGGGTGATATAGTTTAGAGCGAGGTGTCCCTGCCCATGGCAGGGGGGTTGGAACCTGATGATCTTAAGGTCCTTTCCAACCCTAACTATTCTCTGATTCTATGATTATACCACATGGATAGCAAAATGTGTAGCAGGGCGTAGGAGATAGGAAGCTTCCTGTGTGTCCTTAAGTTCACTCAAGAGCTGGAACCAGTGCAACTTCTGATAAGGTTATTCCATAAAGCATTCCAAGATTATCAGAAGGGTTGCACTGTATCATAAAAGAAAAAAACCTCCACAGGTAGAATATAGCATGCAGAAGCAGTTTTCCAGCTCCTCCCATCACAGCGTGTAAGTGACACAGTTATAGTTAACTTTGGATTATCTATCACCGTGAAGCAGAATGGGAGTGTTTGTTATACATTTGAGCAGCTTTTTCACTGGTTTTGCATTCAATGATGAGGCTCTCGGAACCAATACTAGACATGGAAATGGCTAACTACAATGAAGTTTTAGATCCAACATATACGGCACTGGAGTTTGAAACTATGCAGATCCTGTACAACAGCAGTGGTGAGTTTTGCTCTGTGATGCAAAATCAGGCCAGTTAACAGAAAAAGCGTTCAGTAATGCTATATGGTGTTAGCTAAATGTTTTATTAAGGAACCATTTGGGGGTTGTTTTCAAACTACAGACCTGCTCTTTTAGACTTCATCACTAATTTTAAGTTAATAACATTATAAGTCTTTAACATTAAAGGAAATAAAGGAGAGGGATTTTTGTAATAAAGTAACTGAACTGTAGTGTCACCAGTCAGTTAATCAAAGGAAAAAGATGTATTCAGCAGTTGTTCTGCTGAGTTTTTTTTCTGTATTTACTGTAACACAAATGAATAACTAGTATTGACAGTTTGGACATAAAAGTGTATTTCATATATAACATTTGGAAGGACTCACAGAATTGTCCAGAGACTTGTGAAAAAAATCAGCCACTGTTTCTTGATACCTAGTTTTTAATTGTCGGACTAATGTTTTATCTATTTAAATGTTAATCTAGTCTTTCTAAATACGTGTACATGAACTAGTGTTTTCTTTTTAAACAAAAAAAAAAAAAAAAAACCAAAAAAGAAACAAACCCACACTGGCTTTCTGAAGGCTAATCTTTAGCTGAGAAAATCTATATGCATTTCTCTAATGTAACAGTTTAACTTTAGGTGGAATCTGTAATGCAATACATTTTTGAGAAATTGTATCAATAAGTTAGGCTTGAAATAGGAAGCACACCATTTCATTCTGCCATTGAGTATTAACCAACAATGAAAAAGGAAATACTAGTCTACTAAAGTGAAGAAAAGTATCAGGAAAATTAAGCTACTCTAAAATGGCTTTCCAAATCTTCTAACATACTTAAAAATTGTTTTATTGTATCATAAAGTATAACTCATAGATATACTGTAATAGATATTTTTAAAAGGCAGAGCAAATATTTATTGATTTTCAGGAAAAATATTTAACTTCTGCATTTCCACATATTACTGCCTAAATTAGAACCTAAGTAAGTTCTAAGTTGTTTTTATTGTTGGGCTTGAAGTTTTATCTGAATTTCTGATGTTACTTTAGAGCAAGCTTAGTAAACAGAAAGATAGGTTTGATTATTGATTCAGGAAGAGAAAACAGACCTTTATGCCTGAAGTGATTCTAAAGCTATCAACAATGATTATGCAACTTTTAGATGATTTCTCTGCTTTTGGTTCTAATATGGATGAATTCAATGGACATTTGTTTGGTTTTTTTTTTGATGACTAGCATCTTTTCAGATCTGATAATGGTATATAAAATGTGAAAGCAGGTTAGGGAGGTGATACTGTTTTACATTACCTGTTGGTGATTATTCACTGTAAGTGAATACTTTAATATTTATTAGTTATTAGGTGTAGCCTTTTCCTGTTTAGAGTTTCCTTTGAGTTTACCCTAAGTATTTTCTTACAGAATTTACACAAACACTGTCTTGCAGCTACAGTGCTAATCTGGAACTGAAAGCTGTCTCTTATGAACTTTCCTTTGTGTCTTTTTTAGCTACCTAAATTGATTACTGACATTCAGAGAAGTTTAAAAGCCACATTCAGACAGATTATGTAGTGCTGTTGAAATCAAAGAATTTTGAAAAATCATGTGAATTTCCCAAATGTTTTGAAAAATACCAAAAAGAAGAAATATATCCTTACACATACATCCAACTTACACTGTTATGAAATATTTCAACATTAAATTTACATATTGTATTTTAAATTATTCTGCTGCATCATTATGAATCAAAATTTCAAAACTCCAGAAGAAAGGGTTTATATTGTTCTAGCTAAAGTAATTCTCTAATCCATTTTTAAAATTAACTTTCTAGTCATGACAAAATATAGGTTTAAAATAAAATATTTACAGAACTGAATTCTTACCTTTAAGTTTTCATTTGTATTTAGTCAATTTTTAATATAATTCCTATCAATTATGTTTTTGTAAAATCGAAAAAAAAAGTGTGTTTTTTTCTTTCTTTGTCTAAAGAATTCTGTTTAAATCATAAGGGTTTTGGGACACAATGAACATTTTGTAATATATTTGCATAATAATATATTTCAGTTGGATGTAGTACTTTTTGAATAATAGCATGCATCAGTGTGAACAGTTTTATTTTTCGACCTGTCCACTGTTCCTGAACTCATGTACTTGACTTTTGAATGCATGTTTGAGTAACTAGTTGATGTGACACTCTTTCCTCTCACTGACAGAAAAATTGCAAATGTTTAGGACATAATACAAAGAACTTTTATTTTGTAAAACCAGAAGCATAACAGTAAAAGCTATTTTGTAATTATTTCCTTGAACACATCAGTTAAGCACTGTGACTCAAAAAAAGAATAGATATGTCTGTTTTGATTTCAGGTGAATTTCTTCAGTACTGTTTACCATATTCAGTGACTAACTGTTAATCACATAGCTGATATTCTTTTGTGCAAGTAAAGTCTGCAGCAATGTTCCTTTGGAAAATTTGTTCAAGGAAATAACAGTTGTCTTAACATGCAATCTTTGTTCATCAAGTATTGTGCAAAAAACGTCTTGTCTTTTTTTGCTTATTTGCTGTCATGACTGTCCCTGCCCATGGCAGCGAGGTTGGAACTAGATGATCTTAAGATCCTTTCCAACCCTACCTATTCTATGATTCTATGTACTTTTGTATGATAGTTGCCAGTTATTTCCAGCTCCTATAAGAACTGATGTAAGAGATCTTTGCCAGCTATCTAGCTAGCACTGCTTTGTGCCAAAGTTCCTCTTCATGTTAGCAAGAATGTATATGTAATTACGCATGCAGAGTTGCACTTTAATTTTTAACCCCTTTCGTTTGGAAAGAGTTTAAGAAAATTACTTGCTATTTTGAACTTCATAAACTCTGTTAACATCTCTGTAATTCTGAAAGTGATGATCTGGATATGAACCAGATGTAATCGCATATAATGTGTTATATAAATATTAAGTAGCAATTAAAAAAGGCCAAAAAAAAGCGCCTCCATTTAAGTACAAATTTTCATGGGGTGGCTGTTGAAAGTCATTTCCATAACTACATATGTTGCTGTTACCTCCCTCAGACAGTTCAGGAGACACTGTCAACATGAATGCCACTGACAATGGGGTCAATAGTCTCTGTGCAATATGTGGAGACCGAGCGACTGGAAAACATTACGGTGCTTCAAGCTGTGATGGATGCAAGGGATTCTTTAGACGCAGTATACGGAAAAATCATGTCTATACATGCAGGTAATTCAAAAGTTCCTCTAGAGACACTAAATGAATTTAAGCAAATATTACTTTCAGACTTCTCAGAACTATGTCAGGGTATTTTCATTAATTCCTTATTGAATTCTAACCAGCATTTTTGATGAGCATGTGTTTTATGGCATATTCTTATGATCTTATAATGGGAAAAAATGTCTTTTATTCAAGACTACTTAATATTACACATTCCAGATGTCTGTTGAGATGTCCCCCCTGTCAGTCTGAATGACTATCTGCTAATTTCTGGATGTCTGGCTGCCCAAATTATCTCACTACAGGTCTGTGCACTATGTTTGACAAATTGCTCTGTTCATGCACAAGTCCATCATATATCAGTTTTAAGCTGTCTACAAAATATACAGACACCTCTGTGAGTTCAGACAAATCACTATAGGAGAAAACCTTTTGTAACTAGAAATGTTGTTTGCCACACTTTTCGTTCATTGTTTAATGTTAGCATTAGTTTAATACTTCTTGTTTAGGTTGTCATTTGTAATACTGCAGCATGTAGCATGTTCGTTGATATCTCCCAGAAAAAGTAGGCTTCGCCAGCTAGGGTTCCTCCATTCCAGCTGCACTTCGGCATCTTCTTTGATGATCCTTTCTTTTTCCTGTTTGTAGTTTTTCCCCCACCACCATTTGATGCAGCCAGTTACTGACACATCTCACAAATAAGCTGAAGTGTAAATAATGCACATAAATCTTCCATGCTTCCCCATTCCAATGCATAATAAGTGTCTATACATACATATATATTCCTTCAAACTAAGCAGATATGAAATATCTCTCAAAAATAATAAAAATAAAAACAACAGAAGAAGAAAGTTGTGGTTATAGACATTATTATGATAGGCGAGGCTAGTTAGTTTTTCCTCTTCATAATTAGGGTGCTGCTTTATTAATGCTTCATACATTTACCTCTTTTTGTCTCTGATAGATTTAACCGGCAATGTATTGTTGACAAGGACAAAAGGAATCAATGCAGATATTGTCGTTTAAAAAAGTGTTTTCGAGCAGGAATGAAAAAAGAAGGTAATGGAGTATTTTATTATTTGATATAAAAAGAGAAATAACCTGAATTAGTTTTAAAATGAAATAAAAATTCTAAAAAACTCCAGCAAAAAATTCACTGGAAAGTCTTCTATAATGCCTTCCTGATGGAAAAATGCTTTTGTATTGAGGTGAAATATGCATCGTCTAATTTTCAGGTGGGTAAGCAGTTCCAACACTGAGCATTAGCAAATACATGGGTTTAAAATGAATTTGCAGCTGTTTAACCCATGAATCCTGGCACCAAGATTCATTGATTTCTAAGTGGTGAGCCATCTCCTGGAAGAGTTGAAAGAGTGAGATTTTAATTTTTACGAGACTTGAGTCATAAAATCTGTGTCTGGGATTTTGTTTCTACCTAGTTGAAGTAATGATAGTGCAAATTTACTGATTATTCCCTTAAATTTAAGTGTTTGAAGCAATTAAAACCAGGGGAAGCAAAAAAGTGGTGGTGAGAACAGTAGTGGCAGCTGACAGTGAATTGTCCACATTAATTAAAATTTTTTATAATCTCATTAGGACTTAATATGGGAAGATTGTTACTTGCCAGTGTCACAGTGATCCTTCTGTCGAAGTAGAAGAACCAGATGACCACAGGAGTAGAGCAATAGGGAAAGAAGGGCAGTAGGAGTATCAGAGGATTTTTGTATCAGGCTGTTGGAGCTGTTACTTCAGTGGCAATTATGATATAGACATCCTGATCTGGTTCAAATAAGCAGCCAAAAATGGTTCATCCCGAACTTTGCTACTTCTTTGGCGCATGGTGTATCTGCCTGAAGGCCAATCTGCGATGTGTGTAACTAGTCTATAATATTTTTAGTCTATACATAGCTTCCCTAAGTAAAAGGAAGCTGTTTCTTTATGATCTTTTATATTGATACTATAGCACTGCTTTGCTAGTGATCAAGTTTTGGTATGAGGTAAAATGTATTTTCTCCTTGCAGCTGGATGAGGATAGTTCAAAGAGTGTTATGCTGCCTATGCATGAAATGCATTTGCTAATGCTTGTGAATCTTTTGAATACAGTTTAGACTTCTGGAATTTGGGCCATTAAAATCAGGAACATATTGTATATATATTATCAATCTGAAATGAAGAAAAGGGGAAACCTGTGTGTCCACAGCAGCTTTAAAAGTTTTGCAAAATGCAAAGCGTCAAAGAAATCCAAGCCCCAGGATTAAAAAACAGTTTAGCTCAGAAGGGACATCCGGAAGTAATCTACTCTAGCCCCCATTTAAGCCTAACTTCTAGATTCAAGCAGGTAGCTTTGGACCCTGTCCAGTGAGATTTATGCCATCGTTTGGAGGAGACATTCCACAACCTCTTCCAGCAACTTTTTCCAGTGATTCGGGGAAGTGGTTGCTTGTAAAGGGGTGCTTGACCACCCTTTTTTTGTCCTTATAATTAAAATGTGTCTTACTGCAATTAGGGTAGTGCCCATTGCCTCTGGTTCTTTCACTGCGCATCTAAGAAGAACCTCTCCTCTCAAATGGCCCCATTTCCTGTAAACTACAGAAATTAAGACTCCCTGCCTCTTATCTTGGTCCTCTCTTTTCTATATAAGCAAAGATGCTTCTGTCTTGTGCACCTTGTGAGTTACATCTCCATAGCTCTTAGCTGGACACTGCTTACATTCCCCATGTGCTGGGGAGCCCAAAACCAGAGAAATAATCACTGATATTAACTGACATTGCCGTAAGGCATGTTTCTGACTTGTTTATGAAGTGAAGGTGTATCTTGCACAAAACTTTTAACCTAATATAGTCTACACAGCCTCCTCTGGTCTCACTACCTATGTAAATTTAGTTTTTCATTCCATCCAAGCCATGTTTATTTAAGGCTTCGCAGTGCTAAAATAATTCAAAACATTGAACTGTAAATTTTACCTCTTGTGTGTTGTTATATACCTCTCTACACCATCAGTAGATGTCTCATAGTGTAAATGTAGCAGAGTCTGTATGATAGTTTCTCAGCTTGTTTCTAGCAAATGGATTTCTTCAGGACAAAGGTGAGAAAGGCTTTAGCTATGCAAGCCCTTTTGAGCAAATATCCCCCCTTCCTCATGGAGTCTGTTTAATGCAATTTTAGCCTGACCTGACAAAAATGCTTTAGCAAGACAGACAATCCAGTCTAATAATAAAAAATTATACATATGCAGGAGAAAACAAGCATTTCCCTATGATTCTTAAAGTGCTCCAGCAATGACTTTTACCAGTGATTGTCAGAGGAGTGGAATATTTTTTCTAATACTAATCAGGCCCGACCTTATTTTAATTACCTATGTAGCATTTAAGTTGACGAGACTCAGTGAATAGGGTTTTCTTCCATTCTTTTGAAAAAGGTTATATTTTTTGTTTTCTGCCTACATGAACATTTAGTGCTTTGTGTTTATCACTGCACAACATTTCTTACTGTGACCTCAATAAAAGGCCCATCAGTGAGTGTCCTTGGCAAAAACTTAGTACACCTGTGGAATAAACTATGTGCATTGTTAGATAAACCCTGAAAACTATTAAGTGAATAGATTTTTTTTTCTCTTTTTTATTGAAGCTTTTGGTACTGCTCCTAAATTCTGTAATGCAGATTGTTTCCCACAAAATAGCAAACATCTTTGGAAATAAAGCTGCTGCTCTTAAAAGATGATGAGATTCCTTTTGCAATAAAAAGATCTGATCATCACAATTATTTTTTTTTTTTCTTTTCTCCTTGGCCTAAACTTGGACATGATCTAGATTTTCAAAAAATCTGATCGATATTTTAATTTTTTAATTCTTCCTTCAGTTCAAAAGTTGGCCTTGTTGCTTCATAAGCCTTGTGTGTGCTGCTAAAGGATTCCTTATCCAAAGACCTTTCAAGTGCCTTTTTTTTTGGACCACATGAGACAAAACTTACTGTCCTGAAACCTTTTTGGTGCCCTTTTTTTTAATTTATTTATTTTTATTATTTAGTTAATGTTCTGTAAACTGGTTAAGAATGTAGTGTCACTGAGGAGGAGCATGAGACTTGTTTGAAAATTACCTTACTGGTGGCTTGGTTTTGTGATTCACTCCTATTTCAGGGTTTCTTACAGAAGAGCAGGAGTAGGGCTTTCAGACTTCATAAATACATAGGATAGAACCATAGGATTGTTAGGGTTGGAAATCACCTTAAGATCATCAACTTCCAACCCCACTACCATGGGCAGGGACACCTAGCATTAAACCACATTACTCAAGGCTCTGTCCAGCCTAGCCTTGAACACCACCAAGAATGGAGCATTCACAGCTTCTTTGGGAAACCCATTCCAGTGCCTCACCACCCTTACAGCAAAGGAATTCTTCCTTATATCCAATCTAAACTTCCCCTGTTTAAGTTTTAACCTGTTACCCCTAGTCCTGTCACTACAGTCCCTAATGAAGAGTCCCTCCCCAGCATCCCTATAGGCCCCCTTCAGATACTGGAAGGCTGCTATGAGGTCTCCACGCAGCCTTCTCTTCTCCAGGCTGAACAGCCCCAACTTTCTCAGTCTGTCTTCATACAGGAGGTGCTCCAGTCCCCTGATCATCCTCGTGGCCCTTCTCTGGACTTGTTCCAACAGTTTCGTGTACTTTTAATTTTGAGGATACCAGAACTGTACACAGTGCTCCAAGTGGGGTCTCACGAGAGCAGAGGGGCAGGATCACCTCCTTTGACCTGCTGGTAACACTGCTTTTGATGCAGCCCAGGATACGGTTGGCTTTCTGGACTGCAAGCGCGCACTGCTGGCTCATGTTCATTTTCTCATCAACCAGCACCCTGAAGTCCTTATCCACAGGGCTGCTCTGAATCTCTTCTCTGCCCAGCCTGTAGCTGTGCCTGGGATTGCTCTGACCTAGGTGTAGGACCTTGCACTTGGCGTGGTTAAACTCCATGAGGTTGGCATCAGCCCACTTCACAAGCGTGTCAAGGTCCCTCTGGATGTCACTCCTTCCCTCCAGCGTGTCAGCCGAACCACACAGCTTGGTGTCATTGGCAAACTTGATGAGGGTGCACTCAATCCCACTGTCCATGTCACTGACAAAGATGTTGAACAAGAGCGGCCCCAACACTCATCCCTGAGGGACAGCCCTCACTACTAGTCTCCAGATGGACCTTGAGCCATTAACCACAACTCTTTGCATGTGGCCATCCAGACAGTTCTTTATTCACCGAGTGGTCCATCTATCAAATTGATGTCTCTCCAATTTAGAGACAAGGATGTCGTGTGGGACAGTGTCAAACGCTTTGTCCAAGTCCAGGTAGATGACTTCAACTGCTCTACAGCTGTCCATTAGTTTTGTAACCCAACCATAGAAGGCCACCAAATTGGTCAGGCAGGATTTCCCCTTAGTGAAGCCATGCTGGCTGTCACCAAGAACCTTGTTGTTTTTAGTGTGCCTTAGCATGCCTTCCAGGAGAATCTGCTCCAAGATTTTGTGAGGCACAGAGGTGAGACTGACTGGTCTGTATGTCCCTGGGCCATCCATTTTCATCTTCTTCAAGATGGCAGTTATATTACCCTTTTTCCAGTCATCAGGAGTTTTACCTGACTGCTATGATTTCTTGAATATAATGGACATATCTCAGTCCAGTCCTCTGACTGAGACATTTTGTCAGCGGTGGTCATGTACAACTTGACCTGTTGATCAGGTCAAATTGGTTAAAATAAAAAAATTGCTTAAAATAACAAAACTGACAGCACGTGTTCAAGTTCAAAGGAAGAAAGGGGTTTTTCTGTCATACAGCTGGTCACGAAAGTTCTGATAATTCAATATCTATCTACAATTAGTTAGACATAGTTTTTATAGGCAAACTGGCCAGATAAAGACCATAAATTTGCATTGTCACCCTTCCTCATTACTTAGAGCTAAACGAAGGGGTTTCTTGAATGTCACAACTTTCAATTCTTATAGTTATTTAGTAAAATTATGAAATTACACTGTTTGCCAATGTCTACAAGTCAATAAATGAGATGATTTTTCTTTTCCAGCTGTACAAAATGAACGGGACAGGATAAGCACAAGAAGAAACACTTTTGATGGGTGCAACATCCCCTCTATTAGCACACTGTCACAAGCTGAGACACTCTCCCGTCAGGTACTGAGATCAAATTGTTTAATGACTTTTTAAGACCATTTTTTGGAAAGTTAAATACTTTTCACTTTCTTACTGTCTTAAATGTAATCATTAAAACTACTTATTTTCTACTTTCAAGATGTATCCAGCTTTCTCTTCCCAATGAAAGAATCACTAATAGAATACATTCTTAAAGTCAATGAGAAAAAAGTTCTACTTTGTCGAGTACAATATGTCCTCGGCGCCTTTCTTAATAAAGCTTTATGGTTCTTACTGCTTTTAAATCACTTGCTGTCTCAGGCAGCTGGTGGCATCTATCTATACTTGAGGCTGGCTTTACCATAAAACATTAGGGAAAATATTGTCCAAATCCATTACATTCCGAGGGGTGTGGACACCCACTTCCTTAGATTCCTTTGAAAATCCCATTTTTAATATTCTTAGACATTATAAATATGACAAACAGAAGTGTTCCAACTGCAAAGTCTATTCACATCTCACTTTTAAATTTTGTCTCATCTGAACTTACTTAATTTTCTTTTCTTTTCTTTTCTTTTCTTTTCTTTTCTTTTCTTTTCTTTTCTTTTCTTTTCTTTTCTTTTCTTTTCTTTTCTTTTCTTTTCTTTTCTTTTCTTGTCTTGTCTTGTCTTGTCTTGTCTTGTCTTGTCTTGTCTTGTCTTGTCTTGTCTTGTCTTGTCTTGTCTTGTCTTGTCTTGTCTTGTCTTGTCTTTTCCTTTCTTTTCCTTTCCTTTCCTTTCCTTTCCTTTCCTTTCCTTTCCTTTCCTTTCCTTTCCTTTCCTTTCCTTTCCTTTCCTTTCCTTTCCTTTCCTTTCCTTTCCTTTCCTTTCCTTTCCTTTCCTTTCCTTTCCTTTCCTTTCCTTCCTTTCCTTTCCTTTCCTTTCCTTTCCTTTCCTTTCCTTTCCTTTCCTTTCCTTTCCTTTCCTTTCCTTTCCTCTTCTCTTCTTTTCTTTCCTTTTTTTTTTTTTTTTTTTCCCTGTCCAATCAATTGCTGAATGGAACAGTCTCCAATCCTTTTCTACACCTCAGATAAGTCATGGTCATTGATTCTGCATTCTTGCACCTCTTACTTATGTAGAATTTAACTGCCACCTTTACGATTTCATGCTGACTGATTTATACATCCCCAAATGTTTTATAATCTCATCCTTTATCAGCATCTTTCTTAGGGTGGAACTGTCTGTAAAGAATTGATGCAGGAATTACTGGGTGATAGTCTTTGGCACATATTTCATGTCTGGGAAGACTAGGCGAACGTAATGGACCTTCCTACCTTCATACCTATGAAATATGGAAAATATACTTATTTTTGCCTCCTTAGTAATTCTTTGAACTTGCTTATTGTGCTTGATCGAGTTAATTCTTAATCATGTCCAACTGGTATATCCAATTCAGGAATAAAAGCTGTCTTAAACAGAATCACATCCTCAGCTCTTGCTGCCACCAAGTTCTTCTCAGATGGTAGATTCCTGGCCTAAAACATCACCTTGTATATGCAAACAAGATTATTCTACTTATTATTTGGTATATTGTAGTGGGAGAGAATAGTTCCTATTATGCCAAGCGTATACAAAGATACACTCTTTGTATATGCCCTTAAAGACCAGGAGGTTACATTAACATGATGGAAAAGTAATGACTTTAAGTCCTCATTTTATCCTTGATCAAATCAGTCTGTAGGATGAATTCAGTCCTGAGGAGAGACTTGGGGGGTGTAGTAGTGTCACAAATCATTGGCCATGTCTTTCAGCTATGAAATGAGGAAGAAGGTGGCATTCATCCCTTAAAAAAAAATCATATTGAAATTATGAAAATGAAGTATTTTATCTCTGAAGATCCCTTCTAGGGGGAAAATATCCAACTACAAATTTTCTTGTTCAGACCCAGGAGTTTCTAGGATTATGTGAATATGAGAGAGACACGCTGGATTCTTGTAGGAGTAAAAGCATGTGTGTCTGATGGTTCTCAGGACAATAGGGATATAGTGTTACATCATCATGTTCATCAGGTCATTAATCAGTACAAGTTGCACCAGGAGACATTTCATCTTGATGTAAAAAAGAAATTTTCTACAATGACAGCAATCAAACACTAGAACAGCCTTCCTAGGGACGTGGTGAAGTCTCCATTACTGGAGATTTTCAGAATGTGATTGGACAGGGTGCTAGATAATCTCATATAGGCTTCTTTTACAACAAAAACTGCAATGAGCTGATGTTTTGAGGTCCCTTCCAACCTGGGCTAGTCCATGATTCTATGAAATCAGACTCCAGTGTTGCACCCCTGAAATGACAAGGAGGTTACAGCAGTAGAGAAATAGAAAAAGAAATCTATAGCTTTCTTGTAAGGGGATGAAAGCCTAGGAGTTCATAATGAACTCTGTGGGAGTCATCACATGAATCCCTAGCAGCTCACTAAGTAATGTCAGCAGATTCTATAGTTTGTTCTATAACATGTAATTTATAAAGATGCATAGCTTTGGTTAAAAGATATTAAAACAAAGGACAATGTATATTAAGCTCATGATTTACTATGTGTAACAGTTAAGCGATCTGCCTGTTCTTTTCCTTCTTGAATTAATTTCTAGTTGGTGCATGGTGGTATCTTTTTCTGGTAGATCAGAATGCCTCTTGCTATCAGAACTCTCTTCTTTGTGTAAGTACTTGTACTCTTCTGGAAAATAATGAAATATGTTGAATTTCTTTACTGTCTTTCTGTACTGATGGTTTTCTAGACTGAATCATTCTGGTAGCTCTCACCTGAATGATACTTAGTATTTTCAACTGCTGCTTCTGGCAATTTGTGGAACAAACCAGAAATGGGTTTATGATTACATCAAGGATTTTACAAATGTGCTGTCTAAAAAAAGATGATACCTCTCGCCTTTTCCCTACATGACAGCCTTTGAATTTTGTGTCTGAGGATTTTTTCACCGGCCTAGCTGCTGTATTTCCTTGAGAACTAGTGTTCAGCTGGTTAGCTGCCATTGATATCTAAGCTGTTTTCAGTGTTTTAGACTACTGAATTATGTAGGAAGCACTGAGCTTTAGCTCAAGAAGTACAACTCCCTTTGAACACCCAAGGATAATGGTGTTTCACCACAAATCCCACTGGGAGATTTAACATGGATCTGTGAATGAAGGGGATTTGGTAGGAGTCAACCTAAATAGCATTTGCAATCCTGGAATTTTCTTTTTCTTTTCCTTTTTCATCTTTTTCTTTTTCCTTTTTTCCTTTTACATTTTATTTTCCTTTTTCTTTTTTCTTTTTATTTTTTTTCTCTTTCCCTTTTTCTTTTTTCTTTTTTTTTCTTTTTTTCTTTTTCCTTTTCTTTCTCCTTTTTCCTTTTTCCTTTTTCCTTTTCCTTTTCCTTTTCCTTTTTCTCTTCCTTTTTCTTTTTCTTTTTTTTTTTCCTCATCTTTTTCTTTTTCTTCCTCATCTTTTTCTTCTTCTTCTTCTGGTTTCGTTTTCTTTTTTATCCTGGTATGATAGCAGCTATAAACTTACCTTTATTCTCAAACTCGGTTTTATCTTTAGTTGTCTTTCCTGCCTGACTGAAGAGCAAGCTCGGTTTTGTTCATTTCCTTGAAAAGACATTAAGAATTTCAGGATTTGGCTCAGTGATTATGTGAAAGTGCCTCAGCTTCAGGCCCAGAAAGATACTGCTCTCTTCTTATTTCACAAAACACTGTTCACTGCAGGTGGTCTAATGCACACTCATATCCTTTACATTGTCTGAAATGTTCTCAGGCCTCTGCCTATACTGCTGCTTTATCATGACAAACCATTCTCCTCCAGGCACTAAAATCCCCCTGTTTTACCTTCGAAGCTTAATGATACTTACCTTTTCACTAGAAGAACATGATACCCCTTTATCTCTCTCTTTCTTTGCCCTTAATGTTGCTGCATGCACCTATGAGCTCTTTCTTTTTTTTTTCTTTTTTTTTCTTTTTTTTTTCTGAAGTTAAGTAAATATCAGCCATTTCAAAGGAATAAAAAAACCCTACCTTCCCCCTACAAATAGTAAGGATTTTGGCATAATTTAAAATAGTATTTTTGAATGAGAAGATATTATGAGTAGTGTAATTTTTAATATACTGTAATACACACTGGTAATAGTGAGAAATGAAATTCTATAATTTACATGCAGACTAATGGTCTATAGGGTCAAGGAACATCTCAAGGGTATACATGATTACTGCTGTGATTTTTTCTTAAATATGCTCTTAACCAGTGAAAATGCAATTATATGAAATTTAACATTGTTAATTTTTTTCCTCTCATTATGGCTAGATCTCAATCTCCAGTCCTGGTGCTAGCACTGACATAAATGTTAAGAAAATTGCTGGTATTAGTGATGTCTGTGAATCTATGAAGCAACAACTTTTGGTCCTGGTGGAATGGGCTAAATATATTCCAGGCTTCTGTGAATTACCACTGGATGACCAGGTATAAGAAGAGACCAAAGAGAGAACTTTAATTATTGTTCTGTTATTTCTGTGATATTTAAATGTTACGATTACGCACTCATTTTTTGTCTGACCAAATAGAGATGCATGGTAAACCCACCATCTTAATTTTTTTTTAGTTTTAAAATAGCAACACCACAAAAAAATAAAATAAAAAAAAAAAACCAGATGAAATTGATGTGGGTCCATCACATTAGGAAAAGCAGAAAACCAGTATGTTTTTCAGTGTTTTGCATTTTTTGTATTCTTTTGGATGGACAGTTAGCAACATGCATGCAAAAAAAACCTACAAAACTAACCCAAACTTGTAAAAGAAGACATGCTTTGCATGCTTTGCAAGGTGCTTATTTCATGTCCACCTTTCATTGTAATATGGTTTAAGACAGCATGTAATTTAATTTGAAGTAGATCTTCTCTATTTGCAAAATATAAAAGTCGTTAGAATGTCAAACACATGCCAATCATACTGATATCAATCTATAGAAAATAATATTTCATATATATTGTATATAATGAGTACAGAAGAAATAAAGCATCAAACCTCGAAAATTTTTAAGAGTTTTTATGACAGGTCTCATCTATCATCTCATCTGTAACATATCCTAATACAACACAGGGCTTCAGAGTAAGTTGTGCTGGCACACTCAGAACCAGTGTTTTCATGTTGTGGTTCTCTCACCAGCTGCCTGGGCAGGATGTTAATTCATGGTTCAGGATCTCTTGATTCCAGTTCACTAAAATCTGATTCAGCTTGAAAACAATTCTGAAGTGAAATTGTCTCATTTCTCCTTTTGCCCCTTTAGTCTTTTGAACAAAATCCTGAAAGGAGGTTTAGGTTATCCTTGGGTTTGAGACTCAAACTGAGTCATTCCTCATGTACTTTTCCTCAGGAATATGAAGGTGTTTCAGGCCACAGGAGACCCACCAAAATATAAGCTTAGTGTTCTCAAGGGCAACAAAGGCAAGCAAAACTATTGCTGGTGTTATTGTTAGGATGGCATGAAGGAAAAGAGAAGGGATCAGACTGCATTAAAAAGTTCCTGTCTGTATTTAAATTAAAAACAAATAAACAAGCAAACAAATAAGCAACAGCTTTGAAAGAGAGACTGAAAAAACCTGTGCAGTGCTTGGAGCACACTGAGAAATACTGCAGAACCTTACGTACCTTGGAAGTGTAGTCACAAAGGTAGTGGGAGTTAATACAAATTACACTTCTGCATTTGTGATAGCCTCTTTCTAAGGGTCATTGTGCATTTAGTTATAAAATAACTAAACTTCTGGTTTTGAAAAAATTATTCCTGATCTGGGAATCAGCCTGAGTTACAAACCATAGAGCAGGCCAACTCAGATAAATTAATTCTACTTAGAGCCTGAAAAGTCTTTAACACATTAAGTATTCCTAGATGCTGTGTGCCTTTACATCACTCATAAAGTATTGGCTTGGATTCATAAGAAAAAAATTACTTGCCAAGAGAGGAGTTCTTTGAGGAAACAGGACAGTGCTGAAGTTTCACAGGGCCATTAAAAACAGAGGAAAGTAAGCAGGTGACGAAGAGTAAACTAATGACATTTTTAAGTGCCTGCCTTGTATGAATTGAGTTTTTTTGCTGACAGTAGTGGATGTTTTAGCATATCTGTCTTTGCTGGAGAAAAAGCTCTTTTAAGTACTGCATAATTTTTTTATTCAAGGTGAGAAAAATGAAACATATAGTTTCATTACTATATATATATCTAGATATAGATACATAAATCTATATATATATGGATATATATCTATACATATATACATATATAGATATTGCCAAATTTACTGTAACAGTTCATTCCAGCCCACCAGAGTCTTTAGTGTCAACTTAAAATTCCAGAGAATATTTTGTTCAGGAAATAGTCATTAGGAAATTCACTAGAAAATAAATACAAGCTTTGTGTTTATCGAGAAGTATTTTGCAGAGCTATAGGTTTAAAATCTAGACCAAATGCTACAGGTGACAGAGGCTGACAATTTAATTATGGTGTGCAACAATACACAGAATCACGGAACATTTTGGGTCAAAAGGGACCTTAAAGATCATCTAGTTCCAACCCCTCTACTATGGTCAAGGACCGCTTCCATTAGATCAGGTTGCTTAAAGCTCAGTGTTAGGGTTTTTATGTTCACTTACAATTTACATCACAATCTTAACAGTCTTAAACATATACCTGCAGTTGAATACACTTACGATAATAGGCATCCTTATTTTTTTTTGCCCTTGTTGGAATTTACTGCCTTATCATCTAATGAGTCTGCTGTTCTTTCCTTGAGGTTGCCTTGCTAAGAGCACATGCTGGGGAACACCTGTTGCTTGGGGCAGCAAAACGGTCCATGGCATATAAGGACATTTTACTTTTAGGTAAATATTGGGTTCTGTTTTCATTAATAATGATTATGTTATAGTACATTAGCAACCATGTAATCACCTAAGTAGAACAGCTGTTCTGGCACAATCAAAGCAATGCATTCTGTGAATGCTAAATAGCTATTAATGACATAATGTCACATGCCTCATTCCAGCTAAAGCAGGTGGATAGTTTCCTGTGAGTTACTATGGCTAAAGGTTTATTGGATACCAGAAACCATAATTTAAGGGAGTTCATGCCAAATTGTCTCCTTACATTATTATCTTTTCTGCATCTTTGTCCTATAAAACACCCCACAGAACAAATCAAACCAACCAACCAACCTGCCAAACACATAAACCACTTCTGCGTAAGAGAGGAGCAACCAACCTGTGGTGATGTATTAATTTCAGTCTTCATAAAAGCCATTTATCTAGAGCATTCTCAAGAGCCCTTCAGACATAGTCAGAGAAACCCTACAAGATAGAAAAATTGGATAGCCTGTTCCCTGCAGCTCATTTTTCCAAGAGCCCTCTCACTGCTTCCTTGATGATTGACACGTGGCCATCATGCAAACAGCATGCCTGTTGTTCCCTGCCATGTGGGAGATGGGTGCATCCATGACATGGTGAGGAGCCATGCCTGCATATTCTTGGTCACTTGAAATGGCTCGATCACTTGATTATTTAAAGAGACTATGGCTATTAGGAAAGCACATATCATCACATGGTGGAAACATGTCTTCCCTCTGTTCACACAACAGAGAGTTACAGTAATAGGAAGATGTGTGTCTGTGTGCATGGTGACATGATGAGGCATTTGTTAGCATTGTTTGACACAGCACTCTGCCATGATGAAGTACACCTTCCCAAAAATGGCATCATGAAACGTGTGCAGCACCTGGGCTGTTTTGTGAGAAAATGTGTAAGTCTTCTTGGACAGGTTTTTTTATGTGAGGCAAGACTATGTGTAATATAGACTCAAACTACTTTCTTCATTGATAAAAGGAAGTTTTCCACTATTTTTTCTCCTTCCTCTTTGGGCCTGCCTTCTTATAGCTCTAAATCAGCTTTATTTTAATGCATATCATAACATTAAAAGGACAAGCAGGACAATATCTGGAGATATTACTTTTATCAGCAATCCTTTCAAGTTAAAAACTATACAAATTACTTTCTTGACCTAGTTCTTTCTCTAGATGCACCTTTACTGACCATAAATACAGGAATTAAAAGTAAATGTTTGTAATTTTATTGGGATTAGTAGGAAATAAGGACAATACTGATAAAATAATAGCTAGAAAATTATAGTCAGTGTCACCAGCATCAGCATTTATACCAAAAGAAGAAACAATTTGGGGCACTAAGGCTAGGTTCTAATACTTAGAGGCAGATATCTATAAAGTTGATGAGTCACTTTGGCATAGTTCTCTTCTGATACAAGCATCAGCTTTTCTTTCAAAAATTGCTTGATGGCTTTTGGAAGCTCTGTGGCTTTCACAGTGTTTTCCCCTCTTATGTTAGATGTTTTCTGGCCAGAAGGTGAGTTAAGATGCCATGATTGAGACTTTTCCAAAATGGCAATTTAAAATTAAAAAAGCAGGGCAAATTCATTCTTTACTGAAAATTTTAAGATGCTTTTAAACTTGATTAGGAATTACGGAAGCATCTGTTGGGAAAAGAAGCATTTCTGATGCTTCCTCTGGAAGATGACTTCTTTGTCCACTGACAAATCCTGATCATCCAACTTGTAAGATATTATTTTAATGGGGAAAGGAGAAATTTTAAGATCAGTTTACCATTATATTTATCTATTATGAAAAGATAAAGGCTGACTTGCTCCATACTTGTGTATTCAAATATGGACATCAGAGCTGTGGACTAATCAGAATCTTTATGAGTTGGTATATTTACAAATATATTTCTAGGTGACAGCTATATTTTGCACACATGCTCTGTTTACAAAGAACAGGTTTGTATGATACATACTAAAAGAAAAAAATAAGCAAAATGAAATGCATTTTGAAAATGGGCTTCATCTGCTACATTACATTAAAGTCTTTATATCAATCCATGTGTTGGTATTCTTTCTCTTTAAGGCAACAATTACATAATCCATCGCAACAGTACCGAAGTAGAGATCAGCCGAGTGGCAAATCGGATTCTAGATGAATTAGTCCGACCCTTCCAGGAAATTCAAATAGATGACAATGAGTATGCTTGCTTGAAAGCGATCGTGTTTTTTGATCCAGGTACCTTTTTGAAAATATGTTTCAGAATTATTTTGCATGTGGTTATATTGAAAATAATATTTGTTGATGTAGCATCTGCTCATGTTACCTATGGATGAAAAAGAACAAAATAAGAAATAGTGACGGCTCATCCCAAATAATAATCTGCCTTGACTTTAAGATTTTGTCATTTTTTTAAGATGCAAAAGGCTTGAGTAATCCAATGAAGATTAAGAACATGAGGTTCCAAGTCCAAATCAGTTTAGAGGATTATATTAATGACCGTCAGTATGACTCCCGAGGAAGATTTGGAGAACTTCTGCTTCTACTGCCTACACTTCAGAGCATCACTTGGCAAATGATTGAGCAAATACAGCTGGTTAAACTGTTTGGAATTGTTAAAATCGACAGTTTGCTTCAAGAAATGTTACTGGGAGGTAAGCAAACAACTTGTTAAATTTACCATGCTGTACATGTCATATTATATTGAATTTAGCCTACTGGGATGTTGAGGGAATCATGATGTGAGCAAGCACTTCGACCACTGCCTTGCTGGCTGAGCTTTGGGTCACGATTGTTAGCTGAAGCCTTCTTGACTTGGCTGCTCATCTTGTTAACTCAGTCCTCCAGCCTCAGATTAGGCTGTGCACTTCTCAGTCATTGATGGATATCTAGACATTCAATTCTGTAGGTAGAAGGAAGAATCCTTTCACATATTTCAGGAAATCCACTGTTAATGCCATCAAAACAGTGAAAATAAACAGTGCTAAATATGGTTGAAGTCTGGTTAAATTGTTTAATGAATACCCAGAAGCAATTATTCAAATTGCCAATCAAAATATTTACTCTGCAGAAATGGTAGTTACTGAAGTATAAGTCCCTGTAATGACATGCTCTTTTGAATTGTTATATGCTTGTGTTATTTTTGTAGGTACTTCTAATGATGCTAGTCATCTACATCATCCAATACATCCTCACTTAGCCCAAGATCCATTAACGGGCCAAACTATCCTTATAAGTTCCATGTCTGCTCCTGTACATACAGAACAGATTTGTAAGTAACTGCAAGTTAACCTTCTCCCATAACATTTCACTTCTATATTTAAAAATATTAATTAGAATGGTGGCCTGTCAGTGCTCATAGTTATTTCATCAGCATTCCTGAATTAAAATAATTTCATATATAAACAGTGTTAAGTAAGACACTTTGACCTGAATCTAATCTACTTTTAAAAAATCAGCACCATCCTGATATATCATTGTTTCCACATGCACAATTTTTAATAAACAAAAGATTACTATAATTGAAGTACCCTATTTCCACAGCATGCCAAATGTAACAGAACTTCATTTCAGTGCAATAGTATGTATATGTGTATTCTGAGTGGGCCAGAATATAAAACCGTAATTCTTTCTATATTCTTTTTCAGCAACTCCAGAAACTCCATTACCTTCCCCTCCTCAAGGGTCTGGGCAAGAATATAAAATGTCTGCAAATCAGGCTTCAGTCATTGCACCGCAATCAATTTTGAAACAAAAACCATTGTGATAATGTTTCTGTCTCTGCCTTCCTTGTCTTTCCTCCCTCCCTCCCTCCCTCCCTCCCTTCCTTCTTTCCTTCCTTTCTTCTTCCTGCCTGCCTGCCTGCCTGCCTGCCTTCCTATGCACTAGATAAATTGGTAGGACACTTGCACATTTAAAAACTCAGGATTATAAAGGAAGTGATTCCTCAGCAGCCACTACTGTGGGTGTTTTTTAAAACACCTCATGATTTGGGAAGTAATACTCACTGTTCTAACTGCTGCATACAACTGTAACTGTGGACACTGCAGTCTGACAAATATGTATAGAGGTTGATATTAGTTTTAGAACTTGTAATTGCACAGATTAGTTTTTTATTTCTTGTTTTAGTTGTTGTCTTAATATTATTGGTTTAGATATGTATATAATATTTTCACTGTGATACAATTGGTTAGTGCTTGTTTAGTTGTGAATTGTAGATATTAAAAAGTGGGTTAATCAGGCAAAAATCCAAGATTCCAATAACAGTAAAACAGTAGGCTACCAACCAAAGGACATGCCTCATGTAAAATGGAGAAAATACTTAATGGACAGAAATACCGACCTCATTAACAAAAAGGTTTTGATTTGCTTTCAAAAGAAGAGTTGAATCCTCCCTGCTTACATGTTTGTATGAATCTGAGGGCATACCATGGGCAAATATATTTGAGGACTTCTTAAAATTTGTATCCACAGTAATGTCTGTATCAGTCAATTGGACAGTGCCAAGGCATGGGTGCTAGCATATATATTGATAGATACAGATGAGAACAAGGGCTGGTATGCTTTTTGGTCAAGACTAACTAGTATTCTCCATAGCAATTTCTGGGCACATGTTGGGAACAGGTCCAGTTGAGGGACTTTTCACCATGTGCTTTGAGTATGGCCACCTCTCACGTGTATAACTAGGAATATGGCCAGACCATGTCAATTGAGCTCAGGGCTGGAGTATAGACTTTGTATTATTTAATTTACCTAGTGTCAATGTAGTCATTGTGTTTATTAGCCTAACTAGCTGGTGAATGAATGTTTCAGCAATCACTCCAGACTTCAACTGCAGAAAAGTTTAGTTATGTGGTAGCTCTGTGTCTGGAGAGTTTGCTAACTCAAGTGGCAAATGTGCCTGAGTTCAGCTCCAGATGTTCCTGGCTTGAGCCATGGTATTTCAAGATAGAAGACAGCCAGTGCACCAAATACGTGTTCTCTGGATTTTGAAGAGCTTTCAGAAGCTCTTGAATTGATTTACTATGACAAGCTCCCTTTTCCTCCTCTTCCTCTTTTTCCAGTCTAGGGGAATCCAACATTAACTAAGTTTTGTGTCTGGAGTCTATAGTAACCCACCTAGATTTGGACCCTCTGTGGATCTGCACAAAGGGAGCTTTGTGACACATGCTTACTTGGGCGTATAACAAGTTATTTAAAATTTGTGAAAATAATCTATTATGATATATGAAGTGACCTGTTGCTTATACAATAGTGATGTCGTAAGAAAATCACCACTTTACACATTTTATTTATTCCAGACAGCAATGATTTTCCTTTAATACATTTAAAGTAGACTTTCTTCCCAGAAGTTATGTAAGAGAAATACAGAAAAACAAGAGTAAAATGTTGCAGTTTGCTTAACTATTGCAAAGAGAAAACATAGTGGAGTCAGAAATTCTGCAAGGTGAGATGTTGGTCATCTTGAACCAGAAACCTGAATAAATCAAAGCATCCAAAGATGGTGTAGTTCAATCTCTGGCTTTTAAAAGTTGCTCAAACTGATACGATTCTTCAGATACGTTTTTTCAGACAGGGAATGCAATGCAGTAAATGTTTATCTGACCTTAACATTCAAAAAGCTTCAGTGAGAATATACCTACCACCGGGCAGATGCTGTGTTTCTTTGTTATTTTAAAATAGTTGTTTTTATAAAGTCTGCAGATAGTAGCTCTTAATGTTCACCTTTTGCTTTTTAGAGTGTTTTTCTTTTTGTTGTTTACTGTTTATTTTTTATCAATGCATTTCTCTTTTTACAAGTCCCTTTTAGTATGAGTTTTTCTGACAGAATAGAGTACTAAAATTTTGCCATTAACTTTAGGGGAATCTGTACTGTGCTATTTTTACAAGTTGGCCACCAAAGCTTTGTGGGGAAACACAAAGGTAAATCATGCATGAGAGATGCTAAACAGCTCAAAAATTGACTTGTCATAGAAAGAGTGTTGGACTCAAGATGGATCTGCAGGGCTTTACCAGGTCAGATTAATTAAGTCAGTTGCATAAACATGGCAGTATTAGTTTGACCAAAAACATTTAACTGGAAATAAAAAGTAGTCCCCAGGTTGGCCATTCTTGCTTAATATAAGCACTGTGAATAAATAGCTCAATAGGTTTCGTTTTAACGCTGTACTTTAGATATAAAGTGTCCAATGAAATGTTTTCACACACTGCCAAAATGTACTGGATGAAAATATACTTTAGTATTTCATCTGACAAAAAGTTATCTATTTTGTATGATATATTACATTTTTGAATAAGAACACCACTGTAATTTATTGGGAAAAGCTGATTTATTTTATAAATGTAACATTATTTTTGTAAACTTAATTATGAAAAATCAGAAGTGATTAGTTCTGTTAAATATTAAATTATAATGAGATGTAACTTTATTTGTTTGAGCTCCGATACCAAGTTTTTGTGTTGAACATTTGGAATTTAAATGGTTGTTGGAAATATTTCAAATAGACTGTTTTCCATCAAAGCTGAATAAAGAAATATGAATGATCCAAATGACACATTTTTCTTTTGGTATTTTTTTCAACTATTTACATAAACAGTGACAATTCTTTGTATTGTTTATGCTATGAATAAATACAAAACTGTAGCATGCTTTCATCTCTACGGTATTCACATCATTACAGAATGGCTGAGGTTGGAAGGGACCTCTGGGGGTTGTCGTATCCAAGCCCCCTGCTCAAAAAGGATATTGAATTCATATGAAAAAACATGATGGCAACATTTTAGTTGATTCTCCTGTAACATGGCAAAGTATTACACAGCTACAGTTCTCAATTTTTAGTTCTGACTCAGAAAAGAACTGAAGCACAGGCTTAATTCCATCTGTGTTTAAAACGAAGCATATGTTTCACAGCCTTTTTCTTTTTTTTTTTTTTTACTAGACAGGGATACCTTAACAAATCACTCCCTTTCATTGTTCTAGTGAATTGTTGTTTAGGCTAATTTAGTTGCATCTACGCAGTTATTTATTTTGTAGATAACGACTTTGAAAAATTCAGAAAGGCTTTTCAGATACATTTTTTGAAGATAACCAGTATCTCCTCAGGGTTATGATCAGTTTTATGCCTCCTTTGAGTAGATTTCAAATAGGGGAGAGTTGGGGTTTTTGATCAGGTGGTGGTAATGCTACAGTGACTTGGGCTGTTTGCTTTTGATCACATGCTCGTGTATACACTGGAGTGCAGAGCTGCAGGGTAAAGTTGCCACAGGAGGAAGAAGAAGCTCCACTTCTGAATGCTGAAGATCTTTAGGTTCCTCTGAGGAACTTGTGTCTGTGGCTGATTACTTCAGATAAAGGATTTCTTTGCCCTTTACTTGTACATGCTGATTTGGGTGAAGGAAATTTATGATTTTAAGGAACAGAAGAGATTTGGGGTTTTTTTTTTCAGCCTACAATGAAGAAAACATGGAATTCCGCCTGCATCTTCAATGGCATGAAGTGCCGACAGACTGTTTTAAAGGATTTCCATAAATCTTCTTTACAAACAGCTCCAGAAGGTGAACCATGCGTGTATATTTTAAAGAGCGAGATGGTTGTATTAACTTTCAGTTCTAATCACCATATGAAATTCCTTCCAAGTAAGGAATTTTGAATGTGAGGGAAGGTATTTAATGAGCTCCAGGAACCTTCTGTGAGAAAAAAATTAACATTCTCAGGATATAAGAAAATCTGTTACAGCTCTTGGTTAATTGTATGCCTGGAAGTTTTATTTTTACCTCAAGGATGTATGTCAGTCTGTGACTGACTAAAATCTTTAAGGTTATTACAACAGACCCTTTCTAGTGGGTCAGCTCAGATATTTGTGCTACTTATGCTCAAGTGTATAGTAAGAGAATATTTAGCTCCAGATTTTACAGTAAGGCTTTCAAAAATCTTCTGTATTGATTTGCAGATGTCTAAATATTTCATATTGTCCCTGATATAGAGCTATTCTCCATAGGCAAAAAACCCAAAAAGAAATGAAAAAGTATACCCTCAAATTTAAAGTAATTGCATTAACAATGCAATTGTGTTTCCCTCTCTTCTGTTGTTTTTGTAATGTAAAAAGAAAAAGAACATAGCTGTCATCAAGACTGAAATCAGTCGTCTCTGCTTACTTCTGTTTCCTTACTGTCTTATGGCATAACCAAATATTATCAATATTTGAAAAGTCTATGTGTAAATGAAGCACCCTCTGAAGTAAAAATCTAAATTTTATTACAGAAAAGAGTAAAGGTAAATTTCTGATGAATTGCAGGAAATATATTTTCAAAAATATCTTCCATAAAAATTAAAATGCATGCCTAATTTCTAATCAAAATTATAAACATTGCTATTAAAGGCTAAGAAACTTAAAGAGAGAAATAAAATATCAAGACTTACACAGTGAAAGAGAACCTCAATTTTCTTTCACAAAATGCAAGAGGCAAATCATTGTCTTTGAACAGCAGAATACCTTAATTGCCTCTAAACAGAATGGGCATAAATCTCGCCAGTATGGGGGAGCAAGCATGTTATGCCTAAAATTTGTTCTTATGACAATGAACTCTGTTCCTTAATTTGTGGAGGAGATATGATTACTACTGACATTATCTGGTAGTTCATCTGAACCAAGTGCAGATGTCACATCAAGACTAGATTTACTGGTGGGGCTGAGCAGGTTGTTCCTTCCTCAGTAACAGTGCCTGATGTGACAGCTGCGCCAGGCCACATTGTGGTGGTGCAGCCTTGCACCAGCACAGAACTCTTAATTACCCAATGATTTGGGGCCTGACACCACTTTTTTTTTTTTTTTTTTTT